TGGACTCGAACCCGCCACCTTAGGTGTATGTGGCTGGCGCCTTAGCCACTTGAGCCACAGGCGCCGAGCCTAGCTACTCATTTCTAATGGAACTGTCTGGCATTTTGGGTTTTATTTGTTTCTTTTTTTTCTTTTTTGAGGCAGAGTCTTAACTTTGTTGCCCTTGGTAGAGTGCCATGACCTCATAGCTCACAGCAACCTCAAACTCTTGTGCTCAAGTGATTCTCTTGCCTCAGCCTCCTGAGTAGCTGAGACTACAGGTTCCCACCATAGCGCCCAGCTATTTTTAGAGACAGGGTCTCGCTCTTGCTCAGGCTGGAGTGGAACTCGTGAGCTCAGGCAAACCACCCACCTCAGCCTCCCAGAGTGCTAGGATTACAGGTGTGAGCCACCACACCTAGCCTTCTGGCATTTTGTGATATAAGCTAATACATACATGTCTATGTTGTATGATATAAGCTTTGATAAAGATACATATGTATATGAATGATTCAATTGCTCTACCAAGAAACCAGTTTGGAAGGTACCCCAAATCATAAATCCAATATTTCCAGTTTAGCTCCTAGGTTGCTTAACAGTTGAGACTTCGTTAACTTAACTCCCTGAAACCTAGGTTTTCTCTTGCATCAACATACAACCCCACTCTAGAGAGTTTCTGGGAAGCAACCGTGGTGATTTTCCTCCATTGTTTGCATGAGAGGAAATAGTTGATCCCAACTCCATCAAGAAAAATATGTTTGGAAATGAGTGTGGAGCTCAAGGACCACATGTAGCAGTTAGATTCCTGGAGAAAGGGTACGTCAAAAGACAGTTTTCCCATTTACTTGACCAAAGGGTGCTAAATCAATATTTGTTGAGTCAAAATGATAGTTTCAGCTATAATGTAGAAGCCTCTACAATAGATACAATGTTGTTCACAATGATAAACATTCTACGGATACTTTTCAGGATAAAAACACATCTAAATTAAAATCATATAGTATGCTGGGAAGGATTATTCACTCAGTCGGAAAATTTTGGTTACACATCCATCCAAAACATACAATTTAGCTTTATGGATCTCAAACTACCTAACATCAGAATCACATTGTTAAGAGCTCTGCTCCCCAGAAATTCTAAGTTTTATCCATGGGGCCCTCAAATCTGTATTTTTAACTTTGCCTCAGGTGATTTCCTAAGAAAATCAACTGAACTACAACACTAGGAATACCCTCTCCAGAAAGTGCCATTCAAGTTTTGTTCCTGAATGACTCCACACTTACCACACAGCATAACAATTCAATAAGGCAAACAAGTCATGGCAAATGTGATACTCTCATAGATGTAGATCTCAGTTGCTTTCTTGAAGAAATTCCAAGTAAAGTATAAAGGGCTCCTAAAAGTTCAGCTAAACTATAACTGCCCTGTCCTCTTGAGTGGAACCTGGGGTTGTAGTATTTTGTACATAGTAGCAATTCAGTAAGATCTGAAATTGTGCCTCTTAGGTAGAATTCTCTCTCTCTCTGTTTCTTTCTCTTTTTTTTTTGGCCAGGGCTGGGTTTGAACCCACCACCTCCAGCACACGGGGCCAGCACCCTACTCCTCTGAGCCACAGGTGCCGCCCCCCACCCCCTTTTTTGATAGAGTCTTGCTCTGTTGCCCAGGCTAGAGTGCAGTGACATCATCATAGCTCACTGCAACCTCAAATTCTTGGGCTTAAGTGAGTCTTTCTGCCTCAGCCTCATGAGTAGCGGGGACTATAGGCATGTACCACCACACCCGGCCAATTTTTTTGTCTTTTTAGTAGAAACTGAAACTGGGTCAGGGTTTTGCTCAGGCGGGTCTGGAACTCCTGAGCTCCAGAGATCCTCCTGCCTCAGCCTCTGAGAGTGCTAGAAAGATTGGCATGAACCATCATGCCCCACCTGGATTATAACTATCACTAGCCTGTGGTTTAACTTTCTTTTTGTTTGTTCGTTTGTTTTTTTGAGATAGAGTCTCACTTTATTACCCTCCAAAGAGTGCTGTGGAATCATAGCTCCATAGCAACCTCAAACTCTTGGGCTCAAATGATCCCCTTGCCTTAGCCTCCCAAGTAGCTGGGACTACAGACACCCATCACAATGCCTGGATGTTTTTTTAGAGATGAGGTCTTGCTCTGGCTTAGGCTCAAACTCATGAGCTCAGGTGATCTACCTGCCTCTGCCTCCCAGAGTGCTGGAATTACAAGCATGAGCCACTGCACCCGGCTTGTGGCTTAACTTTCTTTGTAAAATGAAGATAATCATCCTTGCCTTACTTTCCTAAGTTATTATGAGGATTAAAAACCTCAAAGTGTGAGAGTCCTTTTAAATATAAAAAGTTTAAGTACTTAAACTGGACTTAGTGGCTCACTGCCTATAGTCCCAGCAAATTCTGGAAGCTGAGTTAGGAGTATTACTAGAGCCCAAGAGTTTGATACCAACAGACTGGCTTGGATAATATAGCGAGACCTCGTCTCAAAAAAACAAAAACAGGCTGAGTAATGTGGTTCATGCCTGCAATTCCAGCACTTTGGGAGCCTAAGGTGGGAAGATTGTTCAAGACCAGCCCAGTCAACATAGAGAGATCCTATCTCTATAGAAAATAAGAAAAAATACGCCAGGTGTGGGGGCATGTGCCTACAGTCTAAGCTACTCATGAGAGCTAAGGCAGGAAGATTGCTAGGGTCCAGGAATATGCTGCTACAGTCAGCTATGATCCCACCATTACACTCTGAGTGACAGAGCAAGTTCCTGTCTCTAAAGATAAAAAACAAACATAAGTGCTTAAACTGAGAAAATTGCCTAGAAATATTATTTAGTCTTTTTAGGGACCCCTTTGAGAATCTGATGAAATCTTTAGTCCATGCCACATTCTGCATACAATCTGGGGAGATTTATAGACAGTCGACCTATTTATAAACATTCATTTGAAGGCATAAAATGAGAAAGTATAAAACAGAAAAATATTTGGGCACATAGTATATGGGCCCTGAAAGTCCTCTTTTTTTGGAGACAGTCTCACTATGTCACCCTCTGTAGAGTGCCATGGTCTCACAGCAACCTCAAACTCTTGGGCTTAAGCCATTCTCTTGCCTCAGCCTCCCGAGGCAAGAGAATCCTGTTGTTTAGCAGGCCCAGGCCAGGTTCAATCCTGCCAAACTGGGTGTCTGTGGCCAGTGCTTTAACCACTGAGCAAGAGGTGCTGAGCCTGAAAGCCCTTTTTTAAATTATATATAGCCACGCATTGTGGAGGGTGCCTGTAGTCCCAGCTACTTGAGAGGCTGAGACAAGAGGATTGCCTGAGCCTAAGAGGCAGGGTTATTGTGGGCTTATTTGAGGTTATTGTGAGCTATGACACCATGGCACTCTACCCAGGGTGACAGAGTGAGACTCTGTCTCAAAAAGAAGATGATGGGCTCGGCACCTGTAGCTCAGTGGTTAGGGTACCTGCCACATACACCAAGGCTGGCAGGTTCCAACCTGGCCTGGGCCTGCTAAACAACAATGACAACTGCAACAAAAAACCAGCCAGGCATTGGGTGGGCGCCTATAGTCCCAGCTACTCAGGAGGCTGAGGCAAGAGAATCACTTAAGCCCAAAAGTTTGATGTTGCTGTGAGCAGTGACCCCATGGCACTCTACTGAGGGTGACATAATAAGACTCTGTCTCGGCTCGGCGCCTATAGCTCAACCGGCTAAGGTGCCAGCCACGTACACCTAAGGTGGCGGGTTCGAATCCCCAGCCC